TGAACCACAAACCCTGCATCCATAGCTGGCTGCATGAGTCACCCCACAACATCAGGAGCATAGCATGTACAATTGAATCATTTCTGTAAAGCTCCTTTGAATAAGGCGCTATATAAATCTATATAACGTAAGATGTCCATTCCGACAAAAGGTAAAAAAAACGTTTAAATCCCAGACCCCCTCTGCAACGAGGCCACGTGCTGGGTCAATGGGCTCTTGACTGGTTTAAAGCCACGTGTCTCTCACGTGAACTCACTGCACTTTAAACAACTCGGCTCACAAACTCAAGTTGCGATTGGCTGCGCCACGCACGTGCCGGTTCTCGGGTCCTTGCGATTGGTCCAGAGATTTGGGGGCGGAGGGAGAGTCTCTGTCCAATGTAAATTAGGGGGATTTAAGCCACGCCCTCAATCCTAACCCCGCCCCGCGACCCCCCCCCCCACCTCAAATTGCACCGCCCCTATAAGTCACAGATGCCACATCAGAGGTTTTTTTTACCTTTATGCATGGGTTTCTAATCACAGACTATGAAGAAATGAGCATGAGTTTAAGTGTATTTGATTTGTTACTAGTTGCCCGGCTATTTGACAAAGTAGATCCGTGGTGCGTAAGCACTGCGGCAACAAAATCAAAATACAAAAACATCAATATTTCGATTTAAAGCTTTCGTGACTGCAGGGATTCATCTTCTTGGAAGTAATACAATATTATTTTATTACTTCCCTTCTACGTGACTTTACAAAAACATCGTTAATGCAGAGAACGAGGACAGGGTCCTTTCGCAATAGTGCACAATTAACAAACGAGGTTTATATACGGAAAATAAATAAGCGAATAAATGAGCGGACAATTTATCTCCTTATATCTGTCCATCCGGGAGGACTTCTGTCAGTGAATCATTTCAGTAGCCTTGGTTCAAAACAACCAATTTCGGGACCGGTTTATCATGCACATACAATATTTTTCTTCATTATTCTGTTGACGTTTCAGACTAATCACTGTGTCACGCAGCATTTGTTTAAGTAAGCAAATTCAGAACCAGGTTCAGTCTTCTGGTTGACGTTTGCCTATAAAAATGTTCATTGATGATTGTCTGGAAAGCCAACTGAGGCTGATTGGACTCAGTTTTGTCAACATAAGTGGATACACAAATCAGTACTTTATTTGTTTTTTTCCGGGAACGTAATTATGTTTTTAGAAGTTCAATTTATCTTACAGGTTTTAATATAGATGTTTGTTCAACTCGAAAGTGTATTCGCAAAACAATTATTTGCTGTAAATGAACGTGCTTAACGCTAGACGGGCAGTGTTTAAAATACTTCGCTGTTAGAAAACATTTTGTACGCAATATCCATATTTCTTATCTTTTGCATAAATAATTTTGTCCAAAGTGATGAGCACTGCCCCATTGTTCGTTTGAGCAGGGAGAATGACCACGTTTGACTTGACACATTAATGCATCGTATTAATGTGGCAAACAGACGATTGGTACATTTTGCATGAGAGTGTGGAATGAAAGAGGTGACTACTCGCGTTCGCAGTTAGGAAAGATGTGAAAATAATGAACACTTAATTTATATTTCAAGAATCTAGAAAGGGGACGTGGAATGGCCAAATGGTGAAATTAGAAACGAGATAGACGTGTTTTATATGTATTATAATATATGTTAAATATATATATCGAGTGACGTGAAATAATGTAGAAATCTTAATTATGGAGCTTTCGTGACTGCAGGAATTATTCTTTGGTTCTTTCGGTTAAGTCACGTCTAAAGATAAAATAATAATATGCTTTTATAATAATAATATGCTAATATGCTTTTATTTTAATTTATTATTTTATCTTTAGACGTGACTTAACCGAAAGAACCAAAGAATAATGTAAAAACTTAATTTGTAAAAAAATTGCCAAAATGTATAGTTGGATTATATGGCCTTAAGTCTAATAAGTCTGTATCAGTGCTGAACACATTCTAACATATTTCATAACTCGTTATTTAAATTTTAAAACTGACTGCAAATTAATTGTTCATTATACTCAAGGTGATTATGATAATAATTAGTATAAAAATGTAGCAAGTGCTATCTGCATGCACTTATTGCGTGTAGCATTGGTAAAGAAAGCAATCATATTAAAGCATTGAAAATTATGAAAAATCTACACATTATACTGGTGTAGATGTGTATGAAAAGCTGTAAAATAGAGAAAGTTTGAGCTAACCTGCAATTGAGGCTTCTGGTATGTGCAGCTCTGTGCGTTTCCCATTTGTTGCTGCTTGTTCATCCTGGATGGCTGCTTGACATCAAAAGTCAAACCATTACCAGGTTCGGTGCTACCGTTCCGCTGACTTTCTGTAAATTTCTGAAGGTAATTACATCTGTCAATGATCAATGCCAGCGTCTCTGAATGCATTTGACGAGTGGTGTCTGCGCCGGTTACTCTGCATCCACTTCAGCGGGCACATCAACCAACGCTGAGGGTCGTCAGAACCGGCCCTAGACCTTTGGGGGCCCTAAGCAAAATTTGGTTGGAGGCCCCTTTGATGTATGATTTTTTTCACCCACGAGCTAGCAGTGACTCTAGGGGGCCCTCTGCTTGCCACGGGGCCCTTTGCAATTGCAAGGGTCGCTTAGTGGCTGAGCCGGCTCTGGGGTCGTCATCAAACACCATCACCGGCGGTGACTGAAATGGTCAGGGTCAGGTATAGACGTCGCCTTTTTGGACACACTGCCCTGGGGGACGCCTCGAGTGATCGCACCAGAGCCCTGCGCACCATCATCAATGGGCCACCGCGGGACTGGAGGCAGCCTCGGGGCAGACCACTGTCGACGTGGTCGCCCACTGTTGAGGCTTACGTCAAACAATACATTCTACTGTGCTCAGAGTGGCAGTGTGCTGAGAATAGGGCCCCCTGGCAGCGTCTCGTGGAGACCGCTATGTTCCAGCCAGGGCCAGGTGATTGATGATGATAATACTCTTTGGTTCTTTTGATAAAGTCATGTAGGTCTCAAATTAAATAAATTAAATCACGACGTTTCGGGCGCAACACAAGCGTCCGTCATCAGGTGGGACAATCAGCAATTGTTTCTTGCTGTGGTTGTCCCACCTGATGACGGACGCTTGTGTTGCGCACGAAACGTCGTGATTTAATTTATTTTATTTTATACTTACCTGACTTTACCGAAAGAACCAAAAAGTATGAATCCCTGCAGTCACGAAAACTTCAAATCCAGATTTATGATGATAAAGATGATGAATTGCATCTGTCAGTCAAAGCTGTCAATCCACTGCTGGATGAAGACATCCTCACATGATGACGATCAGGGGTGGGGGGCAGGGGAGGCAAGACCAGTTCAGATGCTACTCGGTACTGATGTTAGCCCTGGCCAGGAATCAAACTCAACTTCATAGTTGAGTGCGCAAACCGTTGTGCCACCGCTCCAACCCATGAAACTATTACAAAATATTTAATGACGGCTAAGAAACTGATACTATACCTGTCAACTTGTAAATTGTCGGCATGTACCAAAACAATTTCCATTGAAAAATAATGCAAACATGTACAATTCATTTTTTGTCCTGAGTGGCTCCAATTTTGTATGCGGCCAACAGCGAATTATGTTGATTGGGCCATCGAATAATTCACGACTATATTAGCCGGGCAAATTAATTGGTGCAACTAAAGTTGTGATACCTTATGTGGTACCAACTTCTGCTCTGGCCCATGGACTAATATGGTTTTAGGCGTTTGTGTATTGGTTTCAAGGTTTTTGTGCTAGGGCATCTGGCAACACTGGCAGCCCCAGCTGCATGATCGTGGTTATGGGGGGGGAGTGGCTATCGGCAAGAGGGGGGGGGGGGCTCTGTGTCTACGAGGCGGAGTGTTGGAGCCAGTGGCGTATAGCGACGTGTTGAGAGCTACATGGGAGGTCCTGGATCCATGGAGGGGGGGGTGTGATTCTGAAGCCAAGAGGGCGTGGTCCTGGGGCCAGGGGGCGTGGCCACGAGGCCGGGAAGGCGTGGCTCTTGCCTGAGGGGCGTGGCCACGAGGCCGGGAAGGCGTGGCTCTTGTCTGAGGGGCGTGGCCACGAGGCCGGGAATGCGTGGCTCTTGCCTGAGGGGCGTGGCCACGAGGCCGGGAATGCGTGGCTCTTGCCTGAGGGGCGTGGCCACGAGGCCGGGAAGGCGTGGCTCTTGCCTGAGGGGCGTGGCCACGAGGCCGGGAATGCGTGGCTCTTGCCTGAGGGGCGTGGCCACGAGGCCGGGAAGGCGTGGCTCTTGCCTGAGGGGCGTGGCCACGAGGCCGGGAATGCGTGGCTCTTGCCTGAGGGGGCGTGGTCACGAGGTCGGGAAGGCGTGGCTCTTGCCTGAGGGGGCGTGACCACGAGGCCTGGAAGGCGTGGCTCCCGCCCGAGGGGGCGTGGTCACGAGGTCGGGAAGGCGTGGCTCCTGTCTGAGGGGGCGTGGCCACGAGGTCGGGAAGGCGTGGCTCCTGTCTGAGGGGGCGTGGCCACAAGGGCGGAAAGGCGTGGCTCCTGTCTGAGGGGGCGTGGCCACGAGGTCGGGAAGGCGTGGCTCCTGTCTGAGGGGGCGTGGCCACAAGGGCGGAAAGGCGTGGCTCCTGCCTGACGGGGCGTGGTCACGAGGACGGGAAGGCGTGGCTTCCGCCTGAGGGGCGTGGCCACGAGGCCGGGAGGCGTGGTTCCTGGCTGAGGGGCGTGGCCACGAGGCCGGGAAGGCGTGGTTCCTGACTGAGGGGGCGTGATCACATGTGTGGGGGGAGTGGTCTTGGCGATGGGCGTGGCCATTTGTGGAGGGGCGTGGTTATACACTAGGGGCGTGGCCTCGTACTCAGGGGGCGTGGCCTCGTACTCAGGGGGCGTGGCCTCGTACTCAGGGGGCGTGGTTATGTGCAAGGGGGGGGAGGGGGGTGGGCGTGCCCCGGGCAGCCTGGCGGGCTATGGGGCTGCGGGCACGGGCAGAGTGTGCAGAGCGGAGCGCGCATCCCACCACCACCTCCTCCTCCTCCTCCTCCACCTCCTCCCAGCGTGTGAGAGCGATCGGAGCACACAGAGCCACGGAACAGCACCGCTCGCCTAGTCTCGTCTCCCCCTCCAGCCACGGAGCAGCGGCAGCAGCAGCAGAAGCCAGCGAGCCCCCCCCCTCTCCGTGGTAGGAAGATTCGTCCGCACGTTGCTCCTACACCCCCCCCCCCCCCGTACGGAGGTCTGCAACGTTCTCGCCTCCGTCCGTGCTGAGATGCGTGCGCATGTTGTTCGGTGCCTCTGTGGTGTTGTTACTTCGACCCAAACGTGCCCACTGCATGATGCCCGGCGTGAGCTTTCCTCTCTCTCTAGACATCGCTGTGTGTAAGTTGTATTGCGTCGTGTTTAGTGACTCGGCCCCGCCGAAGGAACGTGGAATTTCCATCTCTGGCACAGGGACGGGATGACTGCTTAGCAGCAACGCCGCGTGATAATTCGAGTATGGAGAAACGCCGCTAATCAGATTTCAGAATATGTATACATGTGAATCTTTATTCCAGCTGGTGCGTTAATTGTGCACGGTTCTTGGACGATGTGTGTCACGTTACCTGTGCTGTCACACACGTGCGCTGTAGTGCAACAACATGCACAACACAATGTATGTACACCGTGTGTGTGTGTGTGTCAGTCTGTAGTACGTACGATGGTGCTGTCAGTGTGCCGTATACTTCACGTGCCCTGTACTTCTACATTCGCATGTGCTTGTGATCGGACATGCGGTGTAAGATGCGCGTTGTACTTTCCATCAAGCCATGAATCTTCCGTCCGCACTGCTTGCAGCGCTGCGCTGGAACACCAACAATGCGACCACATAGCGGAGGAGTTATTGCGCTACCTTTCAATTGTTGCTTCCATAACAAAAATGCATCTGTTACCATTTAGAGTTCTAGATTTGAAGCTTTCGTGACTGCAAGGATTCATACTCTTAGTTCTTTCGGTAAAGTCACGTAGGTAAAAAATGAAATAAAAATGAATAAAAATAAAACAATAAAAATCACGACGTTTCGGAGGCAACACAATTCTCCGTCATCAGGTGGGACCGTCACAGCCAGATTTGCTGCATCATTTAGAGTATTTGACTGCTTACTCTTTGGTTATTTCCGTAAAGTCACGTAGGTATATTACCGAAAGAACCAAAGAGGATGGATTCATGCAGTCACGAAAGCTTCCAATCAAGATATTTGACTGCTATTCTTTTTTCCACGTGATAAGCCACTTCGTTGAGCTGTCACTTGTGGCCAGGTTGCTTCTGAAAAAGAGCAACGCGGATCAGTGGACCTTGCCTGGTATAATAAAATATAGTTGTATAGTTTATGCCAGTCTGATAGAGCCGTATGATTACTTACTAATGTTTTCTCTTGCTCTGACTTTATTAAAGAAAACCCAGGCAGCTCACTCAAATACAACTAAAATAGATGTCAGATTGTTTTTCTCTTTCTCAAACGTTGGGTGGGATGAGTGAGCACGTATTGGATATCTTTTTGTAGCAACCAGGGAGGCTATTTGTGGATGATTTTTGTTTTGCCAAACAAGTTGTGGGTCGTTCCGTTAATAATTTTGACACTCGGAATGAAGTCTAACACTGCCGTGCTGTATTGTACTGTATGCATTCAACATTTGCCACCACTTGATAGTTTGAAATACGTAATAATAATAATGCAATATATAAAGGTGCCACGGTGGTGAGATGTTAACTACCTTGCCTGTTATACAGGAGGTAGTGGGTTCGATCCCAACCTTATTTGGAGTTTGCTTGTCTCTCTGCCTGTGGTCGCATTGATTTTTTTCGGGTCCTCCGGTTTTCCCCTCCACATTTAGAAATATATATTGAGAGTATTTGATTGCTATACATTTCCATATGATCAGGAGCCGTCCATAAATGACGTCACGCGATTTTAAGCCGATTTTTTACCACACCCCCCCCCCCCTCGTCAGACGGCGTCACAAAAAGTCAACCCCCCCCCCTCAAATATGACGTCACAAAGCTCTGCCCCCCCCCCCAAAAAAAAACATTTCCATTTTTAAAGTAAAACATGCTTCAAATCACTTGCAACTATTGTCATTGTAGTGCGTATTTAATGTGGCGCTGCACTCTGATGTTGTAGGAGAATTTTTTTTTAAAAGGAGGCGTTGGAATGCTGAAATTTAGCATAAAAATCACTTGCAAATATTCAACGTCTAACTAAAACTAAAGATGTTCAGTTGCGTATTTTGATGTGACGTCACATTTCTCAAACCCCCCCTTCCCCCCTCGTCACACATCGTCACAAATGTCTGACCCCCGTTCCTCCCCCCCTAGGTGCGTGACGTCATTTATGGACGGCCCCTAAGCCACTTCGTTGAGCAATCATCTGTGGCTAGATCGCTTCTGAAAACGAGCTATGTAGCTCAGTGCGCCTTACCTGGTCAAATAAAAAATAGTTAATAGTTGTTAGTTTAATATATAATTATGATAATACATGGTAACAATACATTAGAGTATCATTGGTGTTGGCCTAAACTTTCCAATACGGGTCCCACTTGGAAAACACTTTCTGGACACAGTTTGACTTTAGTGGGTAAATAAGTAATAAATCATTATTAGGGCAGTACATTTATAATTTGCAGCTCCAGTAGCTGGAATCTGCGTGAGACCAGAAGCAATGGCATTTACTTGGAAGTCTTAATCGAGCAGTAGATTGACCATTTATTATTTAGTCTTTAAGAATGCATCATGAGCATCATCAATCCACTGCTGGATGAAGGCCTCCCCAATTTGTCACCTAATTTATTGGCATATTATGATCATTAAGTTGGAATGTGTCGTTCATGTATTTACAGAAATTGAAATAAACATGAAGACATTAATAAGTAAATTAATAGCAGCCTAATGAACATGACTATCGTGATAATTGTGGTAATAGTATCAAACGTAATTTATATTTGCATCATAATTACCAGCACCGCTTACATTGTATTTCGTTACAATACGAGTCACTGCGGCAGATGTAATTATAGCCTACCCCAAGGAGGCACACCTGTTCACCTAAAGCTAAAGGAAGATCTCATTGCATTTGTAATCCCCAGCCCAGCTCCCTCTCTCGCACTCCTTCTGACCTTACTCGGCCTGGACCGAGTGGCGAGGCTGATTGGATGAGGCTTGCAGATGGGTAGGTGGCAGGCAAGGTTGCTGAGTGGGCAGGTTATGGGTGGGTAGGTTAGTTGGGCAGGCTAGGCTGGGTAGATGAAGGCTGGACAGGTTTGCTGGATGTGTGGGTGGCTGCCCGCTAGTTGGAGTGTTACTGGCGGGTATCTGGGTACAGTAACGGGTCAGACTCTCATCTCGGCGAGCCATCTGCGTGGGACAGACGTGAGCACTCCCATCTCACCACGATTGTGTGTGCATGCCCGTCACCGCACTGTGGGGCGTGATTGTGTTCCAGAGGCAGCAGCTGTTGCCTCTAGCTGACTGGCGCTAAAGTGACCTGATTTTTTTTACATTGCCACAACAATTTTTCTGTGTGAGCAGGAGTGTTTAAAAAAATTGGATTAGTCTTTTCGTGAATCCTGGGATGCACTTCTTTCCCCCCTCTTCCACTTTTTGGAGAGGGGTGGGGGGACAAATATAATAACGACATCAAATACGTAATAAAGTACAAATGTTCGCATATTGAAACGACCAGTGAGCAGTGCTCATCTGAATGGTCAGTCCTTGACAGTTGTTGACATCTTCTTGGTTCTTTCGGTAAAGTCACGTAGAATGGAAATAATAAAAAATAATAAAAATAAAACATAATAAAATAATTCTCACGACGTTTCGGCCACAACGCAAGCAGGCGTCCTCAGGTGAAGAACAGGTCTGTCAGAAAGACAGCATCTGACAGACCTGTTCTTCACCTGAGGACGGCTGTTTGCGTTGTGGCCGAAACGTCGTGAGAATTACTTTATTATGTTTTTTTTATTTCCATTCTACGTGACTTTACCGAAAGAACCAAGAAGATGAATCCCTGCAGTCACGAAAGCTTTAAATCGAAAAGTTGTTGACATTGTTACATTGCTTTGGCAGAGACTAGTATCTCTGAAGGATAATCCACTGGTGACGTTCTGCAAGTCGGTACTCTTTTTTAATAATCCACATAAAGACGATTGGTTGTGTTGACCTCTCGAACTGCGATTTGGAATTGCAACCCTCTAATTGAGAGCTTTGTGTTAAAACCGAATAGAGCAGGACTAACGGATCGTTTAAGCGACCGAATATTCTTAATAATCATCAGTTTGACGGGCAGGGCTTGGGGATATCATCAGTAGCATCAGCCAATTACATTGATTGCAATATCTAGTTGATTAATCGACTATTCGTCCCGCTCTAATTCCAAAGTACCATCCCAAATGTTGAACTAGATTTTATTAACTATAGTAAAATGTGTGCAGTTGTACCAGAAGTTATATCTCAAACTCTTGGAATCGGCATGAACTAGAGGCAATAAAATTAACATGGAGAAACCTTATGCCGGCAGTCGATTAAGAAGGGAATAATACTTTTGTCGTATAAATAATTCACTACTGTACTTATCAGCGATATAAGGTGGATAGTTTCTTATGATTTGGAATTAACACGGATGAATTTTTGCAAAGAAAGAGTTTAAACGTTATTATAGTACCGTTTGTTTATTTTAGTTGCAGTTTTGGTGCAATAAACACACTTCAGCATTCCAATTACTAAGTAAACACAAGTGAGGTATTCACAGTGGTAAAAATACCAAATTGCTGATGCCAGCCACTATATATAATATCTTGAAACAACCATAATAGTAATTCTGCAATCTTAATAAGACAAGAATGTCTTTGTTTTAACGCGAACATTCACCATATGTACAACAATTGCACAAAAACACAGTCTTAATATAGTAACGTCAAGTAACAAAAGCTGCAATTAATATCGGACCTTTCTTTGCCAGTATCAAAATATGAGAATAGGTTTTACCCTTTTTGGCAATAAAACAGAAAGGGCAAAACTTATTCTTATGAAAAGCTGCAATTGTGTACAAAAAAATCCAGTTTTAAATCTACCAGTCATTCCACACTGCCTGTTTTTTCTCTCTCATAATACTTCATACAGTGCTATGCTCATGGGAATTGAGGTATGTC